ACTCCCCACAGGATTGGCCTCTGCTTTCTTTGTTCACTCTGTTTGCTTTGAAGCCCTTTGCAGGCACCGAGAAATCAATAAGCCCGGTTGCTGCTGCCCCTGAGTGTGGCTCTTTCCCATTCTCCTCTGGGAGGCTGGGCTCACTCCAGCCCACTAGCAAGTAGTGTGGAGCCCAGCTCTGCCTGCAAAGGAAGGTCCTTGTAAGTAATCAAGGAGCCCAGGTTTAGCTGGCTGGGGATTCCCTACCCAGGCTGTCATAAGATGAAATGGAAGCAGGCGGTTCAGGTTTGCCTGATGAAAAAGCCTCAAGTTAGGCTTGCTTCGATAGGGTATCAGTCACTGAACAAGTTAATTATTTAGGAGAGTGCTTTTTATGGTGGGGTTTCATTTAAATTTTGCCCCTTGATGTCCGTATATAAAAATGACAAATCTGTTGGACACTGTCATTGTGCGCCATGCATCTATCACTATCGAGCCTCTTTTTCATAATTGGTTTATTAATTATAGCATCTTAATGATCTGTTTAAAATAAATAAACCATTTGCACCATTTCAAAGGTATTTTGTGAGGCTCAGCTGATATGAAAATAGCGCCAGCCTTATGTGCCTCTTCAGCAAGTGACCTAATTAGTTAATAAAGTAATTGAATATTAAAAAGGATGTTGCAAGTGATTAAAATTTAAGAGCCTTCAGAATGTTATTAAAGCTATAAATCATACATCAGGGTTTTAATTTGCATAGCTCCGGAATTACTAATGGTCCCCCGTGCACAGGAGGGTTTGGCAGTCAGTCCTTCAACAAAATGTTGATGTTCAAGGCACCAAATCCTTTCAGGCTCTTTTCATAGCCACATAGAAACCTTCTCTTGCTGAATTAAATGTCTAGCTGCTGACACTGCTGCTTGCTCCTTCTGGCAGGTATGTCCATCTACACATCCATCCAGGCGTGAGCACTTGTGCACGCACACAGATGAAAATCTTCTGTGTCCAACTTCTGTGCCACGTGTTGGGCCTAGTGAGAAGCAAAATGGATCCAGCCCTCCACTTGGAGGTTTAAGGCTGGACAGTCATGTTGTCCCCTTCTTGGGGAGTTATAAACGGTGCTGAGGAGCCAGGTCTTGTCTGCTAGACTAGGGAGGGAACACCCAACTCCAGGTAAAGAGACTGGGGCTTTGCTGAGTAGGCTTTGGGTGAGGCTTGGCCAGGCTGGACATACTTGAATCTGCCAGTAGAGCATAGGAAGCACCAGCTGAACTGGCAAGTACTCTTCATATTATACAAGAAAATCAAATAGCCAGGTGTGGTATGTGTCTGTAATTCAATCCCAGTGGGCTGAGGGCAGAAGCTAGCTAATGACTGGAAGGACAAAGAGGAGCTGAACAGCACACACATGCACTTTGTATGTTTGCACTTGCTTTAGCACCAGCTGAGTGGAGGACTACATAAGAAATTCCGTAAGGGTTATGGACAATGGGGGGGGGTGGCACAGACTCTGTGACTCTGGAGTAAAAGGTGCATGTCAAAGAAACCCTGGGTTTGTTCCTACTTAATAGCTGCTCATTTGTGACTTCCAGAAAGGTCTTCAGTGTCAAGATTCCTGCAAGGATAATACTTTTATCAAACTTGAATATGAAACTTCCAGGTCCCCGGTCCTGAGCTCCCTCACTATGGCAAACTGGTTTTATGTTTTCGACGCTATTGTTTCCTAATATTGTCTTTGCAGATGGCTTTTGATTACTGCCTCGTGTTACACAGCACATGCTGACTCCCCATCTACAACAATAACAGCAGTGGCAAGCACAGGAGCTGCTTAGAGCTGGCCTGAAGATGAACGTTTTATTTTGAGTAGTCACATGTGTCATAGGGAGTCTTGATCTGAGGCAGATGTCTCAATTTTCCTCTCTCAGCACCCTTTTAAGGCAAAGTTAAAAAGCAAGCCAACCTCAGGGAAAGCAACAGCTAAACAGACATGGGGCAGGAGGTGTGCTGGAGACCAAGGCAGAAACTCTGAAGACGCCACGAGTTACCCGAGTGGGGAGGCACACTGGGCCGTGCAGTCACAGGAAAGAGGATGTAAGCACTGGGTTGGGCTTCTGACAGTGATGATCACTGGTGACCAGCCATCCTGGTGACCAGTTAGCTAATGTGTGAGCTGCCGCTTGCTGCCTCCAGCGTGTACTTCCCACGTGACTCTAATTGGCCCACACAGGAGTGAATCTGTGACCCTTCTCTCATTAGCCACAAGCTCAGACCAGCTGAGCTAGCTCACACTGGGTCACTGGGGTCCCTTGTAGGAAATTACCATTCCAGTGCCCCCATGGCCCTCTTGTAACCCCAACTAATGAATGTTCCATGGAGCCTAATGTCCTTCCTGGGGAAACACGAGGCTCCACTAGCAGCATATGTGATCTTCGGAAGGTTTAACCCAGGAAGAGCCAATTGAGGGAGCACAGAGAATTTGGGGAGCCAAGGAGTAACCTCTCAGACACATGTGCTGGGAGAAGGGAGGAGGACACTGTGGCGGTGTGGTGGATCTGGTCTCAAGACACAGAATGCAGGCACAGGGGAGTGCAGGAAACTACAGAACATCACACGGCAAGTTCAAGTGTAAACAGCACCAAGGGTGTGCTCTGTCGGCTTAGCAGGCTACATCACCAACGCTCTAAGATTGGTTTTTACTTATGTGTGTCTGTGTCTGCCGCATGTGTCTGGAGATCATCGTGGCCATTGGATGCCCTGGAGCTGGAGGTAAAGATGCTTGTAAGGCACCAGACATGGTTGCTGGGATCTGAAGCTCTATCCTCTGAGGGCCTGTAAGCACTTTTAACCACTGAGCCATCTCTCCAGCCCCAACTGGCAACTTTAAAAGATGAAAATGGTGTATGCCTGTTTTAGAGATGAGAAAAGTTTGGCTTTGAAGTGATTCGTGAAATAAGTTCACTATGAAATACAAAGGGCGTTACTTTGCTGTAGCATGCATGCTGCCTCACTGTAGGCTTGGAGCAATTCGGCTAATCAGGGACAGGAACCTCCAAAATTATGGGTCACACAGATAAACCTTTCTCTTTAATATATATATAGTTATATATAGTTATATAGTTCTCATTATAGTTATAGAAACTAGACAAACACAACCATAATCTTGTTTCTCCTTTAAAAATCAGTTCTCATTTCACCCACCATATTTGTCTCCACCACATTCGCTGCTAGAAAATCATGCTTCAGGAAGGATAGGGAAGTCTTTTGGAGGCCAGCATGAGTTAGAGTGTTGATAAAGCTTTGATACTCCACCTCCCGACACTGTTGCTTGGTGATTCCAACCTAACACAACAGGTTTCCTGTATTGATTATAAATGCTCGTTTGACTCACGAACTTGTCTGCATCCAGTTCTGGAGTGGTCACTCCACTCAGTAGCAACCATTGTCAGACCTGGGCTTTCAGACCGCGCAGCCCGACTGTATTGTTTCATTTGCCGAGAAACAAGGGAGTCCGAATAGCGGTGCAGGCGCAGTCTCCTGCCACCAGGGGGAGATCGTGACCGACACCCTGAAGTAGGGGATACTGAGAAACGTTTCTTCTCACTCTTCTTCTAAGTTCCTTTCCCTCCCTGACTGACAGCATCTGCGATGGCTGAGATTCAGATTAGGTAAAGACAACAATCCATGACAATCCACATTGCCATGGGGTGGGTCAAAGCTTCTGCATATTTAAGTATGGATTGCTGCCTGAGACATGGGTCCTTCTGAGACTTAGTGAAGCAGTTTTCTTTAACCCACTGCCACCTAGTGGCAACCGAGCAGATTGAGAAAGATATTTAGTTCTATCTAGCCGTCAAAGAATTTTTTTCAGTTCTTACTCTACCCAGGAAACCAAGGTCAAGATAGATATATTTATTTACGGGCTTTCCATATCTTGGCCAATTTCTGAGGTATGGCCAGATCTTGGGCCTTGCCTCGACCTCCCCTTTTGTGGTGGTTAGGACTTTACAAATGCAGGTGATCCCAGGTTAACTTAAGTGTATTAGAGCATGTCAAATTAACATAAGAACGTAAGTGGGAAGAGAGAGAGAGAGAGAGAGAGAGAGAGAGAGAGAGAGAGGAAAGGGTTTTGTTCATGCTAGACAAGAACTCTACCACCAAGCTATACCCTGTCCTTAGAGCTTTAGAGATTGGATCTATGTAGCCTAGGCTAGCCTCCAACTCATGACTCTATCTCCAGTGTGCTGGAATGGCAGGTATATGACATGTCTGAGCCAATATGACTTTTGTGTCCCCCTGGGTACCGTGAAAGCACACAGGAGAGATTAAGTCCTTGACATGGCAAACCCTTGGGCCACTCAGCTCGCTTTCAAGCAGTGGGAAGCTGTGATCTGTTCACAGGTTTCTGGAAGCGTGTAAAGATAATTCATGGTGACTTCACCAGATCATGAGGAGAATGGATTAATGCCAGTGAAGGCCAGGCAGAGGGAATCCACAGGTCAATTCATGCAGCTTGGAGCTGGGAGAATTCAAATTTGGGGGAGCAAAGCTGCCTGGAAAATGGGACTCCAGATATGGGTGTGCAGCAGTAGGACCACAACTAGCTAAAGCTATTTTATTTGGTTACTTGTGTGTCTCTGTGAGTGTATACGTGTGTGTGTGTGTGTGTGTACCCATTTGTGTGCATTTCTGTCCATGCTTAGGGCACTAGATGTCCTCCTTCACTCTGTCCCTTTGATTCAAAGTGGGGTCACATCCTTGAACCTGGCTAGAAGCCGGTAAGCTCCAGCTTCTGCTGCTGCCCACCAAGACTTACACCTAGGGCTACAGGAGTTGTGGGATGCCTGACTTGCTACATGGTGCACTGATCTGAACTCCAATCCTTATGACCGTGTAGCTGCTGAGCCAGTTCTCCAGCCCCTGCTTGAAATATTTTAACTTTCTAGATGTGTGTCTTCTCTTGGTAATAGACACACAATTTCCCCAGGATTTCCCCCAAGTTAGCAGAGACCAAGCAGCAAGCAAATGGATACAATCATATTTATTAATTCCAGACTCCCATTTGACACATATCAAAAGCAGAACACTGCAAAGGTTACTAGCAGCAGGCCCCTCAACAAGAAGGGTCTCAGTTAACCTAACACCAAGGGGGAGGTGAGGATGAGGTCAGTCAGCGATTTCTTCTAACAGTTGCTCTGTCAGCACTCTGTCATCCAGCTTCAGCCCTGTCCATAAAACCACCACCAAGTCACAGTGCAGAGGGGACACAGTGGCCAGAGTCTTTACATGTCTGTACTGAGTAAGCAAATTACTTTTGGTTGCTGTCATCTTAATTTTTTGAGACACTTTCCCTCTGTAGCTTAGACTAGCCTGGAACTCACAGGGATCTGCCTGCCTCAGTCTCCTAGGGGCTGGAATTACATGTGTGTGTGTTTTAGGCTCACTGTCTTGCTTTCCTGCTGGGAAAACAGAAAAGGAGACCAGCTGCTCTGAAATCAGGCAATTAATCACCTGAAACAACCCCTAAGAGTCCCCAGACATGTCCTCATAGTTCTGAAAACATAACATCAGACATTTGCTCCCAAGGACTCACAATCAAAAGCGATTGCAAAGTGCTTGGAACCAAACTCCCAGCTTTCCTCGGGGATGCCTGTATTCTGAGGGAGCTTAGACACGGCAGCTTAAAGACCCCAAGGGTCCCAGGTGTGCTGAGCTTTCTTGCCCCTGATCTTCGGACCACCCATGCTGTTCTTGATAGAGGGCTTTCATTTTTATTAGGACCGTGCAAGAGAATTGACAGACATTTGAAACATACTCAAGACACTGGGAGGTAAGGAGGCCCAACCCATCTTCAGAACACTGTGACAGGGGCCCAAGGCTTATCTTAAATCTGCCAGTTTGCCAGAAAGTAATGGCAGACTTAACAGCCTTTCCCACACAGACCAGTTGAGATGGTTTTACTTCCAACCACTGAGAAAAGCCTTCTGGGCAAGAAAGACACAGGTGAATAGGGTTACCAACAACAGGGTGCATGCATTCCAGATAGGGTGCAGGAAGAGAAAAATGAAGACATCTCTCAAACTACTCTATTTATTCCACCAGATTCTTTTTCTTCCATTAACCTGGCCTGCACACAGCAACCATTTCATTCATTAAAAGCACATACAGGGAGGAAACGCTCTGGGAGAGCACCAGTGACAGCTAGCTGTCTTTGAATATTTTTAATTTTTTCCTACAGGAAAAAATCTACAGGACATTTAAAGAAGCAATTTACAGAACCAAATGTATTTTCCAATTTTGCCTGGGTGGCTGTCACGAAAACAGCGCAAACAGAAACACAGACACCCACTTCCACTCATGCTGGGCCTGTTTTTTTTGTCTTAAAGGGCAGAAGTGTAGGCACAGACCTCTGTGAGGCCGATGAGGATTAAGGGCAGCTGGGAGCTCATGACCTGACAACCTGAAGGAGCAATCCTTCCATGCCAAGGCAGGTGAGGCTGCTCCTGATATGACAGCAGCTCACAGCAAGAGTTCAGGGGCACCCACACCTAAATGCTCTCTGCCTTGATGTGCAGCAGGGAAAGAAAGAGCAAGATATAGACTCCTTCAGCCCCCCCCCCCCTGCTTCAGATGCTAACTGGCTAAGCATTTCACAAACCACCTGCTGGTTCTAAGGAAAACCTCAAGCTTCCCGGACACTAAAATGGACAACCAGGTGAAAGCTGTACTGATACAGAGTACAAGACTGGCTCTGTGGACACAGAATGGCCTGTGGTTCTACATTTACTATGCCCATTTAATGCACGCTACTTTCAAAACATTATTCCCACCTATAACCTTCCCCGGCTTTCCTGTAACCTTCATGGGTTATGTCTGAACTTGACCAAGGTGTGGCTGTCCCTGGTGGTGGTGTGAACACAGCCAGCAGCTTCTGCAAGCTGAGCAGACAGAAACAGGCAGACCACTTTGTCAACGCACCCACTGAGACATAGACAGAAATCTGGGCTTCTCTACATTGGCTGACTGGGCCTGCATAAGCCTGCCCCCCCCCGCCTTGTCTATTTAAGCTGTATTTCTTAGTCCTTGGACAGCACCCAGGGCCTCTGTCCTGTCTTGTCCTGTCCTGTGTGTTGTCTCCATTACATTTGAGCATGAGACTGTAACAGGCCTGTTGAGTTCGGGTGGCAATATTTGCCTACCTGTAACTTCCCTTCAAGCTGAGCACAACTGTGGCTAAGCTGGTCTCACTGATGGCTGAGCCACAGGGTGGTAGGCCACCTCTTTAGTCATAGCATTGGCAGGCAGAGGCAGGCAGATCTCTTAGTTTGAAACTAGCCTGGTCTACTTAGTGAGTTTCAGACCAGTCAGACAGACACAGTGAGACTGTTTCAAAAAATAAAAACAGCTATAATCTGTGAATTATTCAGGTGGCTAGAAATTAGTTTGAACAATCAAAGCCATGTATTCAAAAGTAAGGCATATCCTTGAGCAAATTGTAACCACCACCCCCCACACCCCAACACAAGTGAGGAGGCTCTAGTACATCCAATTGTGGGGCTCCTAGGAGGAAAGGGGTGCATCTTCTAGTACATGACCTCATCAACCCCTTTCCCTGGGTTCTTCTTTTCTCATAAGGAAAACTTCAGCTAGTGATTAATCCATGCCAGGCACTGAACTCAGGATCTCATGAACAAAGCACAGGGCCCACCATGAAGCACCCAGCCCGGTTCCCTAGTTCCCTATTCCCCCAGACACTAAGCGACTCACAGATGACCTATGTGATATCATTTTGGAGAAGCAATACATTATTAAGACCTATGTTCCTTTATTTTTGAAAACTCTTCCAATGCTAAAGGCAATAATTTATTAAATTGACTTTTCTAAAAATAATTACCATGCTTTGCATGAAATTGCACATTTCCTAGAGAGTATTCATTTCAGAATCATCATCCAAATTAAACAAATAAATGGAGGGGATCTAAAGATAGAACACATACAATTTAAAGATAATCTTCACAGAGAGAGTTGTCATGTTGAGGGGAAAATTATTAATCAATCCTTATGGAAATATGGGAGAGCTATATGACAACATGAAACCGGCACCGGGAGGTTCACTAGGATGAACAGAAATTTGTTCTATTTCTTCTGATTGCACATTTCTACATAGTCAGGGGGAAAGAGCATCCATTCCAGCTTCTAGCTAAGGGGCAACAGGGTAGATGGGGGAGCACTGGCACACAGGGAGCACTGCCACTCAGGGAGCACTGCTGGAGACAGAGGCACTCTAGACTGATGAGTGAACAAAGCAACTGCTGTCTTGAGAACAAGTCTGGCGCCTGGGCCAGGAGGCAGAGGAGAATTTAGACTCCAGGATCAAAGAGCTTCGAGCTTTACCCAGAGCTTCCACAGACCCCAGTGCACCTGTCCTGCCCTCGAACTTAGATACAACCAGAAATAAAACAGGCAAAGTGAGAAGGGACAGAAGCCCACAAATCCCCCTTGGGGAACAATGCTGTTTTTAGATGCATATTCTCCCTTCAGTACCAGAACAGATACCCTTGAAAAGCAGGCCGGGGATGTGGGGCAGCAGCAGAGACAAAGTCACTTCCTCCTAGATAAAGGTGTTCCTCTGAGAACTCCTGCTTCTTTCTAGAGGGAGGAACAGACCATGGAAGGCAGCTGCCGAAGCTTCACCACAGCCTCTGAGGAAGGAAGGTTACAGGACCAGAAACAGCAGCGGAAGCTCCCTTTCTCATACAGCACCTGCCTCGCTCACTGGACAAGTTTTACAGAGCTATGCTCTAGAGTAAGGAGGATTTATTCATGGCACTGAGATATGCTTAGAGGCTGTAAAACACCTTCCTAAAAGTCTGCCACAATGCCCTGGTGAGGTAGGTGTCTGATGGGGAAACTGAGACACATCTGGTGACTTTTCATTGTCTGATGAGGCAGTGGTCCAGCTAACAGAAGAGCCAAGTGTCCCAGCCCCCTCAACTTAATTTACCCTGCTTCTCGGAGGGTTTACCAAAGCTATTCCCAAACCCGGCAGGGGAAATGTCCTATGCATACATACATTTGAACTAGCTAGCTGTTTTCCATTCTCCCTTAGAAAATAAGTTATCTAAGACAGAGCAAGTATAAACAAAACTTTGTAAGTCAATAGTGCCTAACAGTCTATGTCAAGATGCAGCCAGTTCTGTGCTAGTGATTGAAAAGCATATGGTGATACAATTCAAGTAGGAACACCCCTGGGGCCTTTGGTATTCCTGAGCACCCCTGGGGCCTTTGGTATTCCTGAAACTGGAGCATTAATGGGAGTCAAGTGTCCTTAGGACACACTCATCCTTCTAAGAACCTCACTGGCTTGACACAGGGAATAAAAGCGCGACCCCTCTTCTCTTTCACACTAACACCATTCTGAGAGACTTTCTACACAAGGCCAGGCCTGCCTGGAAAGGCAACTCTCAGCCATGTGAGAGATGCGTATTACTGAGTTCATGTAGAACTCTCTGAAGTCAGACACGAAGGGCACATCAGGACAGGGCACACAAAACACATGGGGTGACAGCACAGGTCACATGCACTAGCACCATGCCACAGGAGTCGGAGAGGACAACAAGCCACCAAGAGTGCGGTACAGTCCCATCTGGTGTGCCATGTGCAGAGGCCACCTCTGGTGAGGGAAGACAAGCTTCTGCATGCCTTCCCATGGGAGAGGGGTCAGAGCAGAGAGGTTACCACTGGCTGCTTTGAGCAACCACCTAGCCGAGCTTCACTCCTTCGTAAGCTGGTAACTTTCCTAGACCTTATTAATATCCAAGGATATGAAATTTCATTTCTTGATCAAGAAAGAATGATGTAGAACAAAGATCAGTTCCAAGATATGGGTTCAGGGTCTTGGGCAATTTACACCGCTCAAACATGATCATCATGAGATCAAACTCACGGTGCTCAGAGCACTAGCTTTTAGAAATGAAATTATTCCTTCTCAGACATTTCTGGGGTTTCCACGGAGTGGATTCCACTCATACTATGACCCTAGGTCAAAGCAAAGTGCTTATGCTTGAGACTCTGAAACAGCTCCGCGTCAGAGCATGTCCTGTGAATGGCTTTTGCCTGGTTAGTACTGCTGACCTGTCCTTCCAGAGGGTGAGCCAGCTCTATGCTCTGCATGGGCAGGACCATCGGGAATCACTTCGACTCACACTGTTTGGGGTACTAGGATATAGCATAGGAACAGTTCATGCACTTTATTTCTAAAACCCAAAGGTCAAGTGGGGCTGAGCTGCTCACTGTGCGAGATGAACCAGCAGGACATTCTCACCTCGAATGAAAATCTGATTTATGTGTCTAGTGAATACCTGCTGGTAATCCACCTTGGGCTTTCGCTTTTTCTTACGGGACTGGCCCCGGGACAGGGTGGTGGCCCTGGAGAAGGTACCTCCCACACTGGACCCTTCTGTCCGTGTAGTCCTCCCTGACAGCTCAGACCTGGACTCCTCCCTTGCAGATGCTTGCAGGGAAGAAGGGACGGAGCGGGAGCGCCTGTGTGAGCTCCGGTCAGTGTCCCCTCGGCCCCACACCGAAGCCACCTTCCAAGTCGATGTCTGTGAGTATCGAGACAGTGTGGAGTCCTCGACTGCAGATTTGGAATCTGCTTCCTTTTTGGAGGAATCTTGGAGTTTCAGCCGATCAAATAGCTATAAAGAAAGCAGTGACAATCAGCCATGGTAACGCCTACAATGTAACTCTGTCAACACACATGACAAGGTCAGATTCCTTAGGTACATCTTGTGAACGCCTTGCACCGACATTTTTTTTTTTTTTTTTTTTTTTTTTTTGGTTTTTCGAGACAGGGTTTCTCTGTGTTGCCCTGGCTGTCCTGGAACTCACTCTGTAGACCAGGCTGGCCTCGAACTCAGAGATCCGCCTGCCTCTTGCACCGACATTTTTTAAAAGGTAGCAGTCACTTTCTAATTGCTGGACGTAATTCAGATAATGACGACAAGATAAAAGGTACCCTTTATCTCTGTGGTAAAGGCATTAAAGTCTTCGAAGAGGCAACTTGTGGCTCATATACATAGGTAAGAAGCGGGTGCTTTTGGGATCTGCTGGGAGCATGAGGTGAGGGACTAAGGCTCTGATAAAGGCAGTGGGCTTGTGATCGGGGCTTCTATGCTAGAAGACAGAATGGGTACCCAGGAGGTCAGGGGGAGCTGCCTACCCTAGTGAGAGTCAGCGAAGAGTCCCGTTCGTATGCTTTGCCTAAGACAGGTTTACGGTAGGTCTCATCCACATCTGTGAGGGCCTAGAGGAAGAGCCCAAAGGGAAGAGAAGGGAAAACGGGCATTATTTATAGAGGTTTTGCAAAAAGGCAGAGGAGTATCTAGTTATAGCAGAGCTAAACAGGTGAACTGCACAGCTTGGACACAAGAAGAGAGTACGATCTAACACCAGCTGCCTAGGATTTCCAAGCTCCTTCTAGCAGATTAAACGGGCTTCTTTGACAACGACAAGGTCTTTGCCACACCATGGTAGATGTTCTAAAACTGCACATAAACTGCACATAAACATGCAGGGACCTTATTAAAATTCAAACACCAGGCCGCTCTTTTTTTTTTTTTTTAAATTGAGGTTTTCTGTTTGTTTCTTTGGTTTGGTTTTTCCTTTCTATCCACCCCCACCTCTAACCATCTCCCCTCTCCCAGTCCCCTTTGAGACAGAATCATTACATAGACCTGGCTGGCCTGGAATTCTCTATGTAAACCAAGCTGACCTGGAATTCACTGAGATCCACCTGCTTCTGCCTCTTATGTGCTGGGCTTAAAAGCATACACTAGCACACTGCTAACTTTTTTTTTTTTTTAACATTTGTGTGTATTCAGGGAGAAGGTGAACAATGCATATTGTGTTGCAACTCTGAGAGGAAAGGTAACCTGACAGTCAGGAGGCAAGGAATATCACAAAGTCACACTGCACAACAAATCTCACAGAGTTACTGAAGAGTGGCTGCCTGAGCTTGGGTGAAAGCCACAGGAAATCAAGCAGGAGGCGGGCTTTATATAGGGTTTCTTGGGGACGGAGTTTTCCAGGGTGAAGATTTCCAGGGTGAGGATTGGTGGAATTTCAAGCCAAGCCCAGGGATTGGTGGGTTTTCTAACCGGGAAGTAGGCTCGGACCTTTTACCCTATAAGGCAGGCTTATAAGAGGTTTCCTGGGGGAAACAGTTTTCTAGGGTGGAGGTTTTCAGGGTGGAGACTGTGGGATTTTAAATCCTGAGCTTAGAGTGAGGCCAGGGATTGGTGGGGTTGTGAGCTCAGAGATTGGTGAGTTTTCAAGCCCCAGAAGAAGTGAGGTGAGCTCAGACTTTTTACCATACAATCCTATTATCACTTGGGCATAGAAGTCAGATGACCAAGTTAACAGGACTCAGTTCTTACTTTCTGCCAGTGGGATCTGGGGATCAAATTTTGTCATCAGGCTTGGTGGCCAGCGACTTTACCTGCCTGAGCCATTTCATCAGCCCCAAGACTAGAGATTCCCACAGTACTGTTCAACAGAAATCTCTGGTGATTCTGCTGCAGGGCAGACCACACACTAAGAAGCAGTCGTTACTCCTTCAGCCTCAGTCTCAGTAAGCCTGGGGTCCCACCAGAGTGACGTGACAACGGGGCACAAGACCAGCCTCACAGGAACCTGTCAGGATCAGTGACACGGTGCAATGGGAGCTACCCAGAAGAATGTTAACTCACCCTACAAATCTAGAGACACAGTAATTATGGCCACTATTGTCAAAAAATATACTCTTTTTAATTCTCTCCTCCCAGGGCCAGGTATGGTGGCTCACCCTGTAATCTCAGGCAGGAGACTGAGGCAGGATGACAACTGCCACAAGCTCAAGGCCAGTCTAGGCAGCATAATGGGGTCCAAGCTGTAGAGTGACAGCCTGTCCAAAAATCCTGAAAGAGAAAATTGTCTCTTTTCAACAAAAAATCATCACAGTGTGTTAGCCTACTTTGAGAAATGAGAAGAGGCTCAGAGGGATTACCAATAGGTGAAGCCCCAAGGATCCAAATTCCCTAACAATCAAAAGAAGGGTTTCAAGCTAGATATTCCAGGAGACCAGCAGTCAGTACTCAGGTGTCACATTCCTCAGAAGCTGGTCACCTTGCTTTTTGACACAGGAACAAAAGAATGACACAGGCTTGATGGCACACACCTTTAATTCCACCACTCAGAAGGCAGAGGCAGGTGGATCTCTATGAGTTCTGGGGCAGCCTACTCTACACAGTGAGTTCCATCAGGAGTACATAGTGAGACTTCGTCTATAGCCTGGTCTATACAGCTAGTTCCAGGATAGCCAGAGTCACACAGAGAAACCCTGTCTCAATCAAAAACAAACAAAAGAATGGCTGGTAGGCAGCCTATTCTAAACTACTTTTTTTTTTTTTTTTTTTGGTTTTTCGAGACAGGGTTTCTCTGTATAGCCCGGGCTGTCCTGGAACTCACTCTGTAGACCAGGCTGGCCTCGAACTCAGAAATCCGCCTGCCTCTGCCTCCCGAGTGCTGGGATTAAAGGCGTGCGCCACCACCGCCCGGCTTTATTCTAAACTACTAAAGGAAGACATAAGTGTTCTTTAACAATACAGGTCTGTCATCCTTAGCAGTATGGGCACAAAGGACAGGAGAGTTCTTTGAACAGTGGAGGGAGGCTATCTTGTGTGCTGTCAAACATCAACCCACATGATCCTCTTATTTTAAAAAACAGCTCAAGAGGACCATACGAGCTGATGTTTGACATTTAATCAGGTAGAACTTGAGGAAGGCAACTATTTTCCATTATGGGACTGGGTTTTCGTTATTATTTCTAAATTGGTCCCACTGATATTGTGGTGGTTTGACTAGGAACAGCCCCTACAGACTCATGTGTTTGAATCCTTGGCTATAGGGAGTGACACTATTAGGAGGTGTGGCTTTGTTGAAGGAAGTGTGTCACTACGGAGGTAGGGTTTGAGGTCATATGTGCTCAAGCTATGTCCAGTATAGCACAGAGCCTCCTGTGGGTCAAGATGGAGAACTCTCAGCTCCTTCTGGAGCACCATGTCTGCCTGCATGCTGCCATGCTTTCCACAATGACAGTAGTGGATTAAACCTCTGAAACTGTAAGCCGACCCCAAATTAAATGTTTCCTTTGTAAGAGTGGCTGTGGTCATGGTGTCTCTTCACAGCAATAGAACCCCATCTAAGCAGCACTCCAGTATCTCTCACACGTGACTAGAAAAATATAATCACACTCTCCATACACTGCCCTGTGTTCCTGGGAGCAAGGGAAGAGTAAAGCTGCCTGGGTTGAGCACCCTTGCTTTAAGGGAAACCAGCAGGAAAGCTGTTTTCAGTGGTGATGGTCAGGGTGTATAAAGTATAATTCTGAGAAATTATCCCTAGGGCTTTGCTTAACAAGGTTACTTACGCCCTTCAGACACACAGGAGAGTGTTAAAAAGGCTTGTTACCATATTCCAGAACTTGTCGAATGCAACGAGGAAGCCAGTGCAGACACCTCGGAGTCCCTTGAAAGTGCGGATGTGAACATTCACCTTCACTCCCTCTCGGATGCAGCGGTGTAGCTCACCCAGAGGGCTACCTTCATGCACTGAAACAAGAGGAGGCCTTGGTCAACACTGGCTAACACCCGACTCACTGGCAGGACAGCTGGGGTCACCAGGGCCTCCCAGCATGCCCAAGGGACCCTCATCTTCCCCACTATGCGTTCCACGAGTGGCAGGGTGGACATAGCCAACACACTCAGAAAGGAGGCCAGATTCCAACAGGCTGTGGAGAGGCTGCCATGTGCGACTCAAATCTAAATCGCCCACTATCTATAAACGTCTGCTCTGTTTGATGAGCACAGTGATCCTAAGAGGTATCATCATTTTAAAAAATGTCTGCAGGCTAAAAAAAAAAAAAAAAAAGAAATAAAGGGGAGTGCACACACCAGTAGCTGGGTTCTTCTCAGTCCTGAACAACGGTTCAGTATAATTCTGGTGAGCTGCACTCCTGGGCCAACCTTTTCATGAACCAAAAGCCTTGTTCATATGTTGAGGGAAATAAACTGTGCCTCATACTGCTTTTAAATCTATGCTAGCCTTTCAAAGAAAACGGCTTTTTAGGGAACTAAATAGTATTCATTGAAATAAAAGCATATTTTCAGCAGGGCAGGGTAGCACACACTTTAATCCCAGCACTCAAGAGGCAGAGGAAGGCAGATCTCTGAGTTCAGGCCAGCCTGGTCTACAAAGCCAAATTCCAGAACAGCCAGAGCTTAACAGAGAAACCCTGTCTCAAAGACAAAACAAACGAAATCATAAACAAATGAAAATGAACATTTAAAACACATAATCATTATAGTTATTTCTGTGGGCTCAGAGTTGCTCATTTGGCTAAGTTTATATTACGCGCCATAAAAGTTTAAAGTTGTAAACTGGATGTGGTGGCACACACTTTTAATCCCAGTACTTTGGAGGCAGAGGCAGGCAGATTTCTGAGTTAAAGTATAGGTGTTCATAAAATGTAATGCTGTTTCAGTATTTATAATTTTATATTTTAATATAAAAATATATTTTTATATATTTTAAAATATATTTTTATATTTATAATGCAATGTTATATTTATATATTTATATATTTATATATTTATATTTTAATCAATATGTTGTTATAGCTGCCTTTAGGATGAATTAGTCTGTTCAATTATATATTTTTTAAAATTTAAAATCTTTATTTTTCAATTTATCATATATAATACTGGATTTCCTCATGGCACTGTAGAACAACATTTGTCATTGTTGTAGAATGGCCTTTTGATGTACACTCTGGGGAGGCTCCTGGAGTTACTGTGTTTCAGTGTACACCTTCACACCAGCAGGAAATGGACCTGACGGTGTGAGGCGCACATGCTGAGTGTCTGGCTGCTCAGAGCTCTAAACCACGCCTTATGAACACAGCGCTGTGAGCATGCAAGGAAGGGATGATGGGCAAGTAAGATTCTGTTTTTTATGTTGTGAGCTTCTCTTGCAGAGCTTGGTGCAATGATAGACTTTTCTTACTTCACACCAACTTATCTTCCATGTACTGCTGGTTCTAGTATTTAAAAACAAACAAGCAGACCAAAGAACCCCAATACATTTTTTATTTCATTCTTGCTAGTGGTGTTATACACACACACACATACACACACACACACGCAGACACACACGTACTCCAGTTCAGATAACAGATTTCTTTATTCATGAGTTGGTGTAGAAATGAAAATCATGAAAAATGAAGGCAAATCTCCTGGGAGAAAAATAACTCAACAAATAAAAGTGGAGTTTAGGTGTCATATTGGAAATTAGGTTACACAGTAGTCAGAGGCCAGGTGTCAGGAACAGTGGCCTTGGGAGGACACTGCTGCTCATCAACTTGTCTTCTGACAATGGCTTTGAACCCTTGATAAATGTGTGTGTGTGTGCGTGTGCGCACATGTTACAGGCTTTCTAACGTCAGGTATGTAAGCAGCGTTCAGACCCTTACTCAGAGTAACCTCAGCAAGTGACTTACTCCCTACAAGTTCAAGTTTCTTCATTTGTAAAGTAGAATTGAACTAGTAGCCTTCTAGACCACATTTGGGAATAGGTCTCTATAATTCAGTTTCCTGAAGCTCACCCCAATGGCTTGGTTAGACCCTTTGCATACAAACGCGAGATGTCTCTTCTACAAAGTGGAAGTTCCCTTTCTAAGCTGAACAAAATACGGGCCTGTATCTTAGTTATACATCATAACTAAGCAAATGGCAACTCTGGTATCTTCATTCTTATATCTGTAATGTTCTTTAGATTTTTTCTCCTTCCAAAGATTCAACAAGCTGTAGTTCTAGGGTGCATTCACTTCTCTCTCTAAGTGGTCCAAACACAACACTAGCATCACCTATGAAAACAAGCTGTCAAGGCAAAAATGAGCTGCCCATTCTAAGACTACACATTCTTTTCCAGCCATTCCATGGCAAACTCCAAAAGGGTATGAAGCAGACTCTTAAAACTTATTATGGAAAAAAATGCATTACCCTGAAGAAAGTTCTTCCAAAATCCCTTCCTCTATTGCTACTAATCTCAAGACATACCCATCCAGCTCCAGATGATCTTTGCCCTCTCTGTTTGTGGTCAGCAATAAGTTCAGGCCAAGAATGACCATTCCCAGTATTCTCTATCTCTGAAGCACAATTCAGCCCAGAATCTTACTTGATGACTGGCATATTTCAGGTCTCCTGGCTCTCCCTTCACCAACTACAACATCCGCCTCATTACTGCCTCTCCAGGTTCTGTAAGAGCTAGGTCCCCAGGGAAGTTTATTTTAACCCCATCCTTTTGTCTCACTATATCTTAACACACCAGTACTTCTGCTACCAAGAGGCTGAGGGTTCTCTTGCTGTATTCAGATGAAAATCATGAACAGACAGATCCTGAGTTCAGCAACTCCATCCTTAAGGTGCCAGGCCCTTGCTGTCCACTCCTCCACAGCCAGCTCTAATAACTCTTGATGGTTCTCTACAACTCCTCTACCACATAGCTCTTGGCTGCCCTTCTCCATCCACAGACTCTGTCATCTTAGTACTCCTTGAGTGCTTCACAGCCTCAGCCTGTACAATTTCTGTTCCTAATCACTCTCTGGAACTGTCCAGCGACCAGCTAGCTCCTGCTGGGTGTGCCTGGTGCTAGCATCCTCAGGAAGTTGTCCACTCTTCATGTGACCAGGTCTGCCTCCTCTGCCCAAGACAAAGACCACACTCAATGAAGCCATTCAGATGGGGAATCCCTGAGGCCGAGTGTTTCAGCAGGAGAGGGTAAGAGAGGAGGAGAGTAGAGCAAGGGCTGTGTGCATAGCTCGTGCACAGACCCCAGTCTGCTAGCTTCTAACCACACTTGGTCATGCAGTGAGTGTAGGTTTACTGGTTACACTTCCGGCTGTCATGAGTAGGTGATCCTCCTGCCCCTGATTGAGGACATCTGTAAGATGGATGGGGTCATCCAGAGAGGTTGTTGAGTTAAGGTAGGCATAAGGGTGACACTGTAGGGTTGAAGTGCAGTCTGCCAAGGTGACAGTTGTCTGTGTGATGGCCTCCAGACTAGAAGCGAGAACATATCAATCAGGCACAATAGCTACCTACAGAGATTTCTGTGACCAGACCGACAACAACCTGGGGTAACATGCCCCAAGTGTCTGAAACAAAGTGCTCTGGGCAGACATAAGGCACTAAAGGTAGCCACAGCTGCTGAGGAAAGACTCCAACTGTGGATGTGGCTGGTTGATGAATGGCTCTAGAGTTTCTCAGAAGGTGGTGCTGGAGCACTGAGGGGACACTGGCCATCTTCCCTGGTGGAAATCCCAGGAATGGCAACCAGGTCCTTCACAACACCACTGGGCTCAGACATTCCTATCTGGCCAATCCCCTGCCTGACATGATGGGTTGTTCCTGGGCAGTTTGGACTACAGAAGGACTCTGGGAAGAGTCTGAGAGCTGCCAATTAAGAGATTGAATTGTTCATGTGTTCAAAACTTCAGTCATTTAAAAAGATAAACAAAATACTAACAAGTGCTCACAGTGAGGACAAGGACACCATGAGAAAACTACAGAATCAACTAACCTGAGCCCACAGGGGCTTGCAGAGACTGAATCACCAGCCAGGGAACCTGCATGGGGCTGACGGGCCCTCTGCACATATGTAAACAGTTGTGAATCTCAGTCTTCATGAGGGATTCCTAACAGAGGGAGCAGGGGCTGTCTCTGACTCTGGTGCCTGGTTTTGGGACCCTGTCCCCCTACTGTGCTGCTCATCTAGCCTCAATAGGAGAAGATGCACCTAGTCTGACTACAACTTGATATGCCAAGGCTGGCTGATATTCATGGGAGGCCTCCCCTTTTCTGAAGAGAAAGGGAAGAGGGATGGATGGGGAGTTGGAGGAGGACCTGGAGGAGAGTGTGATGGTTTGTATATGCTCGGCCCAGGGATTGGCACTATTAGAAGGTGTGGCCCTGTTAGAGTAGATGTATCGCTCTGGACATGGGCTATAAGACCCTCCTCCTAGCTGCCTAGAAGAGTATTCTACTAGCTGCCTTCAGATGAGGATGTAGAACTCTCAGCTCCTCCTGCATCATACCTATCCGTACACTACCATGCTTCCCACATTGATAATGGACTGAACCTCTGAACCTGTAAGCCAGCCCCAATTAAATGTTGTCCTTATAAGAGGTGCCTTGGTCATGGTGTCTGTTCACAGCAGTAAAACCCTAACTAAGATAGAGGGGAAACTGCCATTAATTAATTAATTGAAATAAAACAAAATAAAAAGGAATGCTCACAACAAAGACCTACCACAAAGTTAACTTTCTTCTCTGGTGAGCTTTATCTAACAAAGCCTACCCCAAGTACTGTCAGGGAAGGCCGGGTTCTGCTGGCACTCACAAAGATCTCAGTCCAGTTCGAAATACAAAGAGGCTCAAAGGCATCAGAGTAGCTTGTTCAAGGTCATTTCTTAGTCAACAGCTGAGCCAACACTCAGCCCAAGCGCTGTCAACCTGAAAATAATAATGACCACCACTGTAACAACCTACAGAAAGTGACTTTGGATGTTGATGAAAACTTCTCAATTAGAGAATGTCACTGTCCTAAATGTTTTCAAACGAGGATGAATTTAACCCTTACAGAGCCAGACAAACACTACTACTGCTTCCATTAACCACATTGGAAAATTCAGGCCCACAGGTGTAACTTGCCTAAAATTATACAGCCAGAAACGAGGGAAGCCAGTGTTCAAACTTAAGTGAACCCTATACATTATGAAAAGGGCTAACCTCTGCTATATGTAAAGTATATGGAATGACTTGATTTTTGAAGACATGCCCTTCCTTACAAATCCTAAAGGTAGCCCTTGGAGAAACTCCTTAACAAATCTAATCCTGGTGCTTTAGTCACTTGCTTGCTTTCTGGAGGTTGTTCTTTGCGGTACCCACCCATCTCTCACGGTACTCCATCTGCTTCAGGTTTCCAGTGATGAGGGCTGTGAGGTCTTAACTCCAGGAACGAACTTCATCATGAGAGCCAGATGAAGCTGTTCCTCACATAGTCCTGATGCACAGTAAAGCCAGAACCACTCTCATGTGTTTCCCCTGACAATCTTGGTAGCAAGGCGGTAACAGGAATAAATGTCACACTCTGAGACTTGGGTGCAATTCAATAACCTAACAGCGGCAACACACATAGGCAAAAAGAAGGTACTGTAGCGGTTTGTTCCAGAGCCAGGCACGCTCTGTCTTTCTGCTTCTGCTGTGCAAGCCAGCTCTGGGAAATCCTGGCTGGGCAGGGAGACTCTGGTACAGTATGTCAATCCACAAAGGCACGAGCAGCAGTAGACAGCTTTTCAGGGTCTTTCTCTCTTAATAAACACATTTCTAGGAACATAGCAAAACAAAAATCTCTTGCTGAGTTCACACCTTCTTTTCCAAAAGAAGCCACTTCAACACTGTAACGATTTCATGAGCAGGCTGCAGAAGCTTTGACTGTCTAAGTAGGTCATTGTGTTCATAGGGCAGATGTCATAACTATTTGATATAACCCTAAGCTGTTTTTATTCCATTTAAACAAGATCTAAATAGCACATTAGAACCTCTGCTGTTTAAAGCTTCATTCACCCTGAGGATCTATTAGGATCTATTACATCTATAAGATGTAAGAAATTCTTTTGTGCCATTTACACCTTCAGAATTTAAAACAACTTGCACACAAGGCAACCTGAGCCTGACAGATAGTCCTGCCCCAGCCACCCAGCGGCTGTAAAACCTTGTATCTGTATTTTGGTAGCATTCTGTGTCTGCCGCACTCCAACACTAGTGATTTAGTTAGTGTGAACATATGCGGATCAAGTCTCTGCAGCCGTTTTGGAAACGGCACCCCAGGGGGGCTGTCACTTCCCATGCTGGGATATGAGACATCTCTTGTGCTATATGTGAACATACCTATCTCCTCACTCTCCACCTGACCCTCAAATCCCACTCACCTCAAGACTGGCTGTGCTCCAACACAACTTCTGTACATCTCCTCAACTCTCTGCAGTGGTTCCCCAAGACCTCTCATCATTTCTGCAGACCTCTGATGTCCGCCCCATCCCCCCAAACCGTCTACAAGCCCTTCAATCGCTCCTCATCACTCCCACAGCCCCTCCGCAGCTCCTCACCACCTGCGGCGGGGGGATACTCATCAATACCCTGTGCAGATCTCCCCCCCCCGTGGGTCGCCACCCTCCCTGTTCCTCAACTCATGCACAGCCTCTGTGACTCACAGGGGACCCTCCTCGCGCCCCCACGGCTCTCGAGACTCCCGCAGACGCCCTCTGCGAGCCCTCCCTAGACCTCTGGCCGCCCCACAGCACTCACAGGGCATCCGCGTGAGCACGTTGCGGGGTGCCTTCTTGCTGCGCCCCGGGCCCTGGCGTCGCGACCCGGCCGTGCCGTCCGTGTCCTCCTTGACCACCATGAGCCGGCGCAGGCGCTGGATGCGCTCGGGATCCGGGGTGGGCGCGGCGCGGCGCCGGGCCCTGGACGAGGTCCCGGCTCCCGTGGAGGTTCCGGTGGAGGTTCCCGCCGAGGCCGGCTCCCCGGTGCCCCGAGCCCGACCGCGCCCGGTGCGCCCGCCCTTCAGGAAGCTCTCGTACTCCGCCACGTTGTTGAAGCAGGGCGCGTTGGGGTAAGGAATGGGCGGCAGGCGCGGAGCGTACAAGGCCAGCAGCGGGTCGAAGCTGTAGGAGCTGACGTCCAGCCGCGGGCTGGGCGGGCTGGCTGGGCTGCCGGCGCGAGCCGACCTCGCCCCCCACTCGCGCTCCTCCATGTTTGAAAGGCCCGCAAGCCGAAGCCGATGGGCGGGAGGAAGGAACCGGGCCGCCAGAGGGCGGCACTGCGCAGCCGCAGCCGCGGCTCAGGGGTACACACTGCGCAGCCGCTGCCACCAGGGGGCAGCATAGATTTGCTCTGGAGAGCTGCAGGGGCGTGGCGCAAGGCAGGGGCGTGGTAAGAGGCGTGACCTGCCTAGGCCTCGCTCCGCCTCCACAGATAGCAGCTGACAGGTTGAAGCTATCCAACCTTTTTGTTACTAAAGTAGATAACTGTTTATTACTTCTCATGTCCCCCTCCCATTGACATTTACTATCTCTTCTGTATTTGAGATCTAACGTCAACAAAATGTACAATTAGGGACATATTATTTGAAAACAAAGCCAACATTCCGGAGGCAGTAAAAATTAACCAATTATTTGGTAAATCTCACCGATACTCACAGACAGCTTAGGATGTTTGATGCTCCAGACTCGAGGGTGGGCCCCAAGAACAGCATTTTAAAGTCTCAGGATGTTCTGTTTCCAGCTTGAGCTGGAGGCAAAGGGCATGAAGACAAGACATAACCCATTTTTCACTCCTGTTAAGTATATTCCTAACTTGGATTGGGTTAGCCTGGCTGGGCTCAAATTACTGAGCCTTTTTGGGTTCTTATTGTCGTCTGAAATATGACAGGAAGGGTACAGAGTACACAGTGGGTGCATGTTAGCTGGTTGAGTGCTATAAAAGATGGGTGATTCCAATCCTCATGTCCTTTCCCTGCCGGATAAGACTGGAGAACCCTTGGTATCAATGAAAACAACTGACTCTGTTGATGTTTTCCTGAGTACTGCAAAATCCAAAGTATCAACACTATTTTGTAGCTCTAATTCAGCAAAACTCTTTAAGAGATATTTCATGTGTATGCTTGTTTGATTGTGTATGTGTTAAGTCTGTGAACCATGAGCTATCAGGGCCCACAGAGGCCAGAGAGTGCTGGATCCCCCTGGAATTGTGGTCGTTGTGAGCTACCATGTGGTTTCTGGGTCTCCCTTTGGAAGAACAGCCATCTCTTCAGCCGCAAAGTATTTTTTCTTTTAAAGTGAGTCTCCTGTAGATAGTCCTCCTCCTCATCCAACATAGCAGTCTTCCTTCCTGCCATCTCCAGCGACACAAGACATTCTCCTGCCACCACCTTCTCAAAGGATCAACCATTATTAAGCCTACACTAGCTGCTTTGGGGATCTTTACTTTCTGTAAGTTTGAAAATGTAGCCCAAAAGAACATTTGGATATCTTTAAGACAGAGATGAAACTTAATATGCAACTACAAGATGCACAGTAGGATCAATTGATCTATGAAGATCAAATGAAGAACAAGCTTTGAGTAGGTAATGGTAGTTGATGGCCCTGGTGTTTAACCCTGTTTAAAATCCCTTACCTGAGTGAGAACTTCCAAGCTACATAACCACTAGTAAATGACTGTCTCAGGACAAGCACAGAGGTAGACTTCCCTGTATCTAAAAGCACAAACTTTCTCTAGCAGCTGTCATGAAACTTGGGTGTCTATTCCCTACTTGTCCAATTTTGATATAAAATGCTATCAACTTACCATTGAGTTAAATTTGCTCATCAAGAGCTAATGATCTCACTACCTCTTCAGTATGCTGAGGGAATTGCTTACCCAAAGTGCTACAATGCTCATAGCCGTGTACCAAAAGCATTTCGAAAAAAAAAAAAAACACTGCAGAGTCCCAAATATCCACATGGGTATCTTACATTGGCACTTTCAAATTAAGCATTCGAATGAACATTTTAAAAAGCGTATCCAGAGCTCTCTGGATGTCTGCTATGTGGGAACATGCATCCTAGCTTTCTCAAAGGCAAACACACCAGTTAGACTCATTCTGTAGGAGCCAATTAAGTAGGCCAAGGAGCTGAAGTCTTTATTATACATTTTTTTCCTCTTAAAAAGATTTTAGCAGTTACCAAACATGAGCTCTATTGCTTCTTCCTGGGGAGTGGGGAGAACAGGAAGGAAAAAAACGGCACTGGCAGATGGGGTGTCAATTAGTGAGGGATGAGGCCAGACGCCGCTCTTTCAAAAATACATTTTCTTCTTGGCTGAAAATCCTGCAAATGCAAGACCAGGCAGCAGCAGGACATGGGCTGTCTTTTAATTAATTCCTAATGGAGCCAAATAAACTTTTTCCTCTAAGATATAAAACAAGGTCAAGGGGAAACGTGATTTCCCCATTGAATCCAACACATTGGGAACAAATGATCTTCATCCCCATTCTCTGCCCCTTGCCAAGTCCCATCCTGCCATCAGTAGGAGGAGCTATTTTAAAGCCTCTGCAATCACCCCAACGCCACCCCTTTTTGAGAGCCTTTCCATGTTTGGCTTCAAATATTTGATCTTCCTGCCTCAGCCTCCCAATTAGGATTAGGCTATATCACTGTAGCAAGCCTCCTAGTGCTCTTGAATTCAAATGTTATGGCTCTGATTGCATTGAGGCTGTTTGAAAGTGCTTGTCCAGAAGTCTAACCCAAAGTCAGCTTTTGCCACTGATGTACTTCCAGCGTGCAAGGAGTAGCTGCTTCTCCATTCTTATTCACACACATTTACACACACACACACACACACACACACACACTTCCCTCTCAGATGTACACACATATACCTCCCTAAAATACCTTTTCTTGAAAAGAGTTAAGTGACTGGAAACTATGTTCCCGGTAAGAGATGACATCGATTATGGTAACAATTCCAGAAAAACCAATCCTGGATAACCAAACCATTCCTCCTGTTCAGTCAAAGCTGCCACCCTGGGAACTGGCACAGTCTCGAGTGTTCCCTGGGATTTCTCAATCTGGAGGCATCATTCAGGCAGCAACCCATATTTAACTGTACGCCAAAAGATAAGCACAGGCACTTGGGTGTCAGAAGGGGGATTTTTCAGTCACTGTGTTTTCTAGTTAAGTGGGTGAGGGTAAAGTTTGGGCTCCTTTTCTCTCAGAGGTGGAAAGAGGTGACAGGTTTTTGTCAGGCTTATACCACAGCTAAAAATGACTCCTTCAGCAAAGTATGAATAGTTCCTTTATAAAAATAGGACCATGATTTTGAAAAGAGCCAAAGAAGTCATGTTCTAACACCGTGGTTTTTTTTTTTTTTTAAGGTATTCTGCTTAAGCAGAACAAGATACGCCACCCCCACACATCCTTCCTTCTTCTGTCTCCACTCAGCTTCAGTCACGTCTCTCCTTACAGTGTTCTTGGGACCAGGAATGCACGAGCCACCTAAGGTTGGGGGAGACTCGGGGAGCCCTGCGTGATCAAGCATGTCAGCAATGCAGAGTGCAAGATCAGTTCTCTTCCGCCAGGATCTCCGGGTGTTCCTTCCAGAAGGCATCCCCAATAAGATCACAGTTCAAGGCCACCAGCCTGGTTCTGGTCCGAGTCACGGCCATCTTTTCCCCTTCCATTTCTGCTGGCAGCCTAACTTCTTGTGTTCTGACTTCATCCACCTACAGGCAAAAGACAGAACAGGGAAAATGGTGAGAGAGAGAGAGAGAGAGGGGTGGGGGGGACAGAGGGATGAAAGAGAATTATGGGAGAAATTCACCTTTTTAGTTGCTATGCCACTGACTGCTGGAGTTTTATGTATCGGCAGGGTAGCCATCTCTCTAATTAGAAAGACATTTAGAGCCGGGCGGTGGTGGCGCACGCCTTTAATCCCAACACTTGGGAGGCAGAGACAGGTGGATTTATGAGTTAAAGGCCAGCCTGGTCAACAGAGTGAGTTCCAGGACAGCCAGGGCTACACAGAGAAACCCTGTCTCAAAAAAAAAAAAAAAAGAAGACATTTAGTCTGGCATGGAGCACACACCTTTAATCCCAGTACTTAACAGGTAGGCAGACTTTTATGGGTTCAAGGATAGCCCTTGAACAGTGAGTTTCAGGCCAGCCAAGGCTACACAGTGAAACCCTGTCACAAAAACTAACAGACTCAAACAGCACTTTCAATGCTGTGGCAGTAGACTTCCTCTCTAGCATACATAAGGCCCTGGGTTGGTCCTTGGCAACACAACATTTTCAACAACAAGTCTTAGGAGAAGGTTACTTTACTGTATTTTGAAAAGTGATTGTTGGTTTTCATGTCACCTTGCCACAAATTACAGTCATCTGAGTAGGAGGGCTCAATTGAAGAATCCTCCAGATTGTCTTGAGATGAGAGGTCCCACTCAAGGCATGGGCAGCATCTTCTGATAACAGAACCAGCTTCCACTGTTGACTAAGGACCAATAACCTCAGGAGCCTTCCAGGTTTTCAGTGTCGGACTGGAATTACTGAGCTACCCAGTCTGGTGGACTGTGCAGTTACAGGGACCTCTGCCTATCTAGTGGGGCACAGCCCCTGAAAGACGTCTGCAATTGCTGAGGCCCAAGAACAAGGCAACTAATGGGTTTTTACCCTCTTAGGTGAGAAACAACTCTTGTAACTATTTTAGTCTAAGTTGAGTTAGTTTAAAAAAAGAAATATATATACATATATTTATATAAATATATGTCTATATTCTATTATTCTGTTTTTCCAGAGGAACCAACTAATACTGTAGACTTAGGAACAAAGAAGAGAATTCATTTCCTAGTTAGCCATAACTATGGAACCAAAGGTACCTTTCCTTTGCCTGGAAAGTACCCAAGGCTGTACTAAAGAACAAACACGTAAGAAAAGGTAATAAACGAACTGAGGTTGCCAGTGGGATGTGTGGCTCTCAAGGTGCCCTTTAATCCTTGAAGGCACTCATTCATAAAAAACTAACATGAAAAGAAATGAATTTAGAGAAATAATTATGCCTATGGGCTGACAGCAGAGAAAATAATGGAGGAATTATGTATAGAGGCATCCCAGAATATTAAGATAAGTATGAATTTCTGGGAAAGCTAATAAAATTGCTCAAAGTCAGAGTCTCTCATCTGCTCCCTCCAGTCCCGTTTTACGGTATCTCTTAGTACTCA